TGACATACATCTACACGTGCAAGCAGCCCCTTGGCCCACGTGGTGCTGGTCACGTGGGTATGCTTGCATCGATGCTCTTTCAGCTTGGGCTAGTAAGTGGTTACCTAGGCCCGTTATTTATAGCCCAGCCCTGTTTGGGTGTTGGGCTGGGCCTATTCCAACAAGTAACATTCTTAATTAGTTTTCTTTATCCCAGGTAATGAAACTCATATGGTACATCAAATTTTGCCCAAACATAAAAGGGTTTTCCTGGGGTAGGACACTTCCTACCTAATCTCGTCCTGTCAAAGAGGTGGCATTGGCATCTCTAAATCCTTGTCTGTTATATCCAGAGATTGTTGAGCAGCTGAATTTCTCAACTGACTGCTGCAGCTATTGCTCAGAAAGCCATTTGATGATTGTGATTTCTTTGAGTCAGGATGAGAACAACTCGAATTATGTATCTTTTTCAATTCTTCTTCATTGTAACGCACTATTGTGGCCAAAAACAACAGAAATATAAATGTCAGTACAGACATTGTATTGTGAATAATATAAATGATAACAAAAGAATGCATATAAATTGTAAGAGAAATCAGTTAAAGAGATTTAAAATTTCTGATTTCATACGCAATTCATATCAAGCTTGCAATTCCAATAGGAGGGAAGTAGATGCAAATAAAAGTGATTAGTAAACTAAGAAATAAAAAGATACATGCACACAAAGACACAGAAAACACAGTATTAAAGATGTTATATTTGAAATCAAGGAGAGTCTGTGAGTACATACACAGACCACATTAGTCTGAGTGGAAATGTACCTTTGTCAAGTAAACAGCATTTTGGAGTTCTTGAAGGGTGTCCTTCATCCGATCACCTTGCTAGGCATGACCAATTTGTGAAAGAGGACGATTCGGTGAAAGAGAGACGCTGAAAATCGGGGCTAGGCATGGCCAATTTGTGGTTTCGGAGGGACGCTGGTGTTGGAAGGACCGACGAGAAAGACGATTTTTAGTGGCGCAAATAAATGGAGACGAAATAAAAATGTTTCATACGATTCTTAGATACGACGTCGTTCTGTATTGGTGGGCAACTATTTTCCCGTTCAGGTATCCTTCTTGTACTTACAAACTAGCCGAATTTGTTTGCTGAATTTATCTGTTATTTTTCTTATTCAGTAAAAATTCGCTTAGGTATAAATTTTATATATTATAATTATATAAAATTTTAATTATTTAATTTTTTTACTTTTAATAGTTAAAATATATTTATTTTTTTATATTTATTAAAAATAATTTTAAAAAAATCATGATAAATTTCAACAATAAAAAGTAA